AACATCCGATCAACGTCGAAATCTGACCAAAACTAGAACAGACGTAAAACAACCTTATTTCAACGTTGAAACAATGTCGATATATGTACGTTGAATGTTTATTTATTTTTAAACGTTCAATCAATGTTGATTTTAGGTTGAAATGCTGAACAACTAAAATTAAACATCCGATCAACGTCGAAATCTGACCAAATCAGGAACAGACGTAAAACAACCTTATTTCAGCGTTGAAAAATGGTCGATATCGGTACGTTGAATGTTTAGCTATTTACCAGCATGGAACTAATGTTATCACACCAACATTGAATGAAATACATATACATAAGTGTACGATTAATGACCAGAGAATGCAGTTCAATTTTCAAGGCGTCGAACAATTCTTTAGCTTATTTCTATTGCTCAAGAACGCGAGCTGCCGTGGTCAAGGTTGCTAAGGCGTCGCGCGCTCTCCAGCGATCCCGGGTTCGAATCCTGCCACGGACGAAAAACAGGTTGGTTCTTCAACGTTGATTCAATCAGAGAATTTGACGTTGCAGCAATGTCGTAGTAGTAACATTGATTCAACGTTGCATTGTAACGTCAGTACGACGTTTCATGAGAGACGTTGCTTCAATTTTCATTCTAGACCTATTTTCACCTCGATCTCATTGTCGTAATGCGTAGTTGATTCAACGTCGATTCAACCATAGAATTCAACGTTGCTGCAACGTCGTAGTAGCAACATTGATTCAACGTTGCATTGTAACGTCAGTACGACATTGCATGAAAGATGTTGCTTCAATTTTCATTCTAAACCTCCTTTCACCCCGATCTCAATGTCGTAATGCGTAGTTGATTCAACCATAGAATGCCTGCTGGGAAGCCACTTCTGGGAAATGGCTGTTTATTTTTCAGCCAGCCGATTCCATTTATCCCTAAAACAGTTGAAAATGAAGTGACAATGGGACAAAGCAAATTGTAAAAGCATCTGACAACAGGAACTAGCTAGATCATGCGATGTCTGCATGGCGACCAAAGCATGCTTCAGCATAATTTTTTTATCAAGCAAGGGACTCGCGCCACTGAACTTGTTGGTATTGACAGCTATGGCGTCGATACACATACTTACCGCTATGGATTTGCAGTGTCATCACTGTAGCTGCTCATGAACATCTTGTGCTGTTGTATTGTAAAAAATCCAACTTAGGCATTTGAAGAAGCTTGATGCTGCCATCAGCTACGGAGGATAACAATGCTGGCAACATGTCAACTGCATCTCTGCCTGACAGATCGGCTGAAGTTTGCCATCCAGGTAAACAAATGATTTAGCTTGACAGTTCACTGGCTCTATAGATTCTGCAGTTGCAGAATATCTAACAACACTGATAAGGAATAAGTAAGCTAGAGTGAGCAAAAATGGCTGGGGACAATGTACATTACCAGGAGCTTGGCAATCTCCACAACTGTTTTCGTGCTAAGTTTAATCCATCATATCTATTAAAATAAAAGTTAGGCATTCATTATTGTCCAGTACATGTAGTAAATGTACCAGATATAAGCAATAATTGATATTAGCAGCTTCTCTGGAAGAGATATTATTGACTTACCAGGTCACTAAAGTTAGCTATATATGCATTTTGACACGCTTCATCGGGCAAATACCAAAACTTTGGTGCTCATGACGCACCCCTAAATATCATCCGATAGGCCTCATTTTTGGCTAATGATCATAATTTGTCAAACGACAACTTTTTGGGGCTGAGAGCTTAAACTTTCGGAAACATTTTTTTTAACACCATAACCTCCAATTTAATAGGAAGACAGGTAGAGAGGGAAGGAGCTAAGACAAGCAGTCCTAGCACATTATAGGTGTCGAATTGAATTGTGTAGGATAAGAGAAGACTATCATCCTCTCTATGGAACATGGTCGTTGAACTGCTAGGAGTCCTTCACTTACAAACTTTGACCCACTCGCCCTAAATTGCTACTAATTCTATGCTTTTTACTTCCCTAGCTAGCTAGACACTAACTACTGTTGTGGTGATCGTTCCCGGTAAAGAAACATAGTTTGACAGTCCTTTATGTTGCTGCCATATCTTCGTCCACATCAGAAATTTTATGCTCCCACTTCTGTAACCTCGTTGTCGTTGCGGCAAAAGTAGCTATCGTATCATGTGCGGAGTATTCCGCAGCATTCATTTTTGCAAGATCCCGTGAAATTCTAAAATCTTGTTTTCGAACAATCGTTACCGTATGCAAGAGGAACATAAACGTTTAATTCACGTAAAAATATTTTCAACATCTATTTCCACTGTTGTCTAAGAGAAAATTTAATTTTGTAATCATGACATTAACATCATTCAAAATTGTAACTGTGGCTTTGGATTGAACTATTAAACACTCTTCCATGAATTCGTCAAAGTATTTACTTTGTTTTGGATCAAGATGTATAGACTCTTCAATGATGTTCAATGAAATTCATGTGCTAAGTTACAATAATTTTCAGTTATTACGTAGCCGCTTTGAGCATTAACACTAAATCGCTGGAATTATGTCGCCGTAGACGCATCCAAGATTGCCAATAATTCGGCTGTGCGGAACTCATGCAACTGAGATTTGCACTGAGGCCGCCTAATTTGTCGTGCTGTCTGCTGAATACATCGTCAACCTGTGAGGGTACAAAAATTTTGCACTCCTGAGGTGTTAAGAAATTAATTGTTGGGATTAGTTATATCCGGTAGAAAATCTACATTATTTTTCCACATTAGTGCTCTACCTGAACTTTGATGTCAAGTGCAAATAGAAAATGAAATGGACTTTGCTGGGGGTCAAATATTAATAATTTTGACGACTGAAACTACTAAAAACGGCAGCCGTGTATTAAATTTTAGCTTAATGAGGTGGGAAAAAGTTAATGTTGTCTACTCTAAGCTCCCGATTAGATAATGATAGTATTGCAGTTTAGCTGACTTTGACTTTCTTTACTGTTAAGAATACTGGAATGACTTGTATAAATTATCAGAAGCACATTATCAGTCAATGAGTGTCGAACGTTAAAAAATCATAGCATTTGACTTGATGTGATGAGCCGCCGCAGAGAAGCGTCTGGCGTGACAAATGTCTCGCCGCCTTACCAGGCCATCCAGATGGAGGAGCTGCCGCCTCACGCGAGCGGCGCCGACGACGTCGGTACGCCCTCCGTCTCGTGAGTGCTAATGGAGACTCAAAATTTGCGGTTGATGCTTTAAATTCAAACTTGTGGTGAAATATATACGTGGCAAATAACATGCAAGTGCCTTGTCTGGACATTTTGATTCTCGTATGAAATGTCAATTCATGGAGGAGCTGTTGAAGTAAAATCTCTGGAAATTTGTGCACCAATGAGGTGCAGTATTTTCATTTTTTGATCCCTTGAGATGACATTGTCACCCGAGAAGGGACATGTCCGCTTGAGAGATAGCATGCCTACTCGTTGAGAGGACCATAAGTTGGAACGACTGCTCGTTAAAAGGCCCATGAGGCGAAATGTATGCTCTTTGAAAGGTCCGTGAGGTGAGTCTGCTCGTTGAAAGGCCCGTGAGGCGAAATGTATGCTCTTTGAAAGGCCCGTGAGGTGAGTCTGCTCGTTGAAAGGCGCGTGAGGTGAGATGTCTGCTCGTTGAAAGGCCAATGAGGTGAGTCTGCTCGTTGAAAGGCCCATGAGGTGAGTCTGCTCGTTGAAAGGCCCATGAGGTGAGGTGTCTGCTCGTTGAAAGGCCCGTGAGGTGAGATGTCTGCTCGTTGAAAGGCCCGTGAGGTAAGATGTCTGCTCGTTGAAAGGCCCGTGGGGTGAGATGTCTGCTCGTTGAAAGGCCCGTGAAGTGAAGTGTCGCGCCTATTCTTGTAGTATCTACTGCGCCTTTCCTTCGCCACCACAAAGAAGGCTGGACACTGGGCACTGGACAGTGTCGCAGAGGTTACTCCAAAATAACTATACATGTTTCCTAACTCTGATCCCATAGTATTATATTTCTGGAGAACATGCTGATAATCTGACGTGGTTATTAACATCGGAAGATAATAAAGAAAAATTTGAGAAATTTTTTCGATATGATATTTGAATTAGGCTGCTATGAAAGATTTATTCTTTATGAAATCTAATAAATTATTAAGGGGAGCGTCTGCCCCCAAATCGAAAATTTTGACTTTTGTGGTTTTTATACTCATCTTAAAGCTTACATTCTGACGCATTTAACGGCACCAAAACCATCTCTGTACGTTGATTTATGCGTTCATGACAGATCGCTAAAGGGTTAGGGGTGGTGGAGTTCTTTCACATTTAAGATAGTGGGAAATTCCCGGCAGCTCACTTAAATAGCTAGTCTGAACACGCTGTGCTTCAGTTATTCGCCTGCAGTCGTACGGGATGGTTCTCGTGCCGTCGTTCGCACCATCCTTGACAGAAATTGAGCTCTAGTATCGTGTAGTCTTGCAACCTTGCACCCTTGAATGTTCATTTCGAGGCGCGCGCGACTTGGTCGGGTTCTACTGAAAAGTCAACTTATTGTCACAGCAAACCTATCTCCTCCTAAAATTTTGAAGCTACAGCAGTGAGTGATATACCGTTCGAATCTCAAATAAAAGATCTACAAATGATGCAGACGCTTTTCTAATTTCGTTATAGTTTGGATTTTATTCTGCAAAAGGGGGGAGGGTAACGGGGGTAAAATGAAAAAAATCCGAAAAATTCATGAAAAATGCTCTTATACCCACAAAAATGAGAATTTCAAAAAACCGTCTGCATCAGTTTTAGATATGGTCTTTACGCATCGAATGATATGTGTCTCCATGTTGTAGCTTGAAAATCCTTGGAGGAATAGATTTCTACAGTACCCCCTTTCTTGTCCGTTTTCTAAGAATTTCACGTTTATTTCATTTTTTTCTCGAAAATTTACACGAACAAAAGTCTTAGAATTCCGTTTTACATACGTGTCCCGAATTTCGAATCGTTCCGTCGATAAATAACTGAGATAAAATTTTGAGCAGACGCTCCCCTTAAAGAGCTTTGTCTTCAATGTCGGCTAACAAATTCTGAAAGTAAAAGCTTGTAGATGTTGAGTAGAGGGATATGTTATTATGTATATATGATTAGTTCAGTACACATTTCTCTTTATATATTATCTTAATCTTACTTTATTTAGAAATTATGTCAACAATATAAATGATTGGTCTGAAGTTTGGTAACGCTGGCTTGGGGAGCCATCCTGGCACCGCTGAGATTAGGTGTACGAGGTTCTGTTGTGTAAAATATTGGGTCGTTGATTTGGAAAATTTGTACACTCACAAATGTTGTTTATTGTCACAGACATTCATTTTCAACCGCCGTTGTCCCTCAAAACATTGTAATTCGTAATTAAACGTTGAATCGTTTCGGAAATCACTGTTGCTGTACGGGGTCACATTATTAAGTCGGCAAATCAAATGCGAACTGCAACTCATATCGGCACGCCGCATTCCATATGAGGGAGAAGAGTGTTATATAGTATATGTATGAAAGTGCTTATATATAATAAACCCAAAATGTCCTAGTCCTACCATGTCTTAGTACTAGTCCTACCATGTCCTAGTCCTACCATGTCCTAGTCCTACCATGTCCCAGTCCTACCATGTCCTAGTCCCACCATGTCCTAGTCCTAACATCTCCTAGTTCTACCTACACAACAGGTTCTATAATCTTGTATGCAGGTGCATAAAACTCACATTACTCACCGAGAAATTTATCGGGCGAAATAAATTTGTTAGGTTTGTGAACTGTGTTTCTGAATTGACTCGTGAATAATGTTTGCAAAAAAATATTTAATAATTATTAAATTATTGATTTGTCACACTTTAGACGTATATATTCACTTCTTTTCGGGTTTTAAGGTCGCAATCGCCAATGGCGCAGGCCATCGAAGAGAGCGATGCTAAGTCGCTGCAGGAAATCCTGAGTGACGGCGCCTCTCATGACGACGAGATCAGAGAGCAGCTGTTGCTGCACAAAGCGGTGCTGAAGGAAGGCAAAGGGTCACTTGAAGTGCTGAAACTTCTGCTACATCACGCAACGGAGCAAACGCTGTTTGCTTGGAACGAGAACTCCAGAACTGTCCTCCACGTGACTGTGAAAAACGCATCCGACGAATTCTCGAAATTAATCATCGAGAAAAAAAATGCTTTGCTTGCTGCAACTGATGGGCATGGAAATACGCCCCTGCATTACATGGTAAAACATGATCGAACAAAGCTGTGCGCGATGGTTCAGGCTTACCTGACACCTGAGGTCATAAACCGGAGTAACAATGTTTCGTTAACTGCCATTCATGTGGCAGCGATCGAAGGAAGCCCCAATATCATGAAGATTTTACTGAAGCGTGGAGGAGACCCGATGGTGTTGACCGCAGCGAAGTATACTCCACTTCACTTGGCCGCGCACCACAAGGCAGAGCAATGCGTTGAACATCTTCTAAAAGCCGTTCAAAAAATGAACAATTCCCAAGCAGGAAATCACGATTCAACGATCGAATTCAAGAACATGCGCACCAGCAAGGGACGCACGGCTCTGATGCTTGCAGCCAAATTGGGATACTTGGGCATTTGCAAGAAACTTGAGGGCACTGACGTGAACATGAGATGTTCGGACGGTAAGACTGCCCTGCACTACGCGGCGTCCAGGGGCATCGAACGAGTTATCTCCTATTTGGTTGAGAAGCTCAGAGCAGATTGTTCAATAACAGACAATCAAGGTTTTGTACCGTTAGTGTCATCAGCTGCTCACGATCCAGAGGGTTTCGCTTACATGCTGAAAATAACTCCAGAAAATCTCCTGAATGAGGAAGTCATTAAAGAACTCATTGATCAGGCCGCTAAGAAGTCGTTGAAGAACCTTGAAATAATGGCTAATAGAGCAGAATTTCGGAAACATTTGGAAGCATATCGCGATAAATCTCAAAATAGCTTACTTCATATCGCCATTAGTAATGGAAGTTTTTTATCTGCAAAAGCTTTAATGGAAAGCACCAATCTGAGCAAAACGGAAACAAACAAAGATGGCGATACCCCGCTGCACTTATTGGCAACGAAAAAGGTTGCAAAATCAGCGTCCCAAGAAGAAGAAAGACGGATAGTTCGGAACGAGTTGCTGCGAAGTGCAAAAGAGATTGTAAACTCTCCCAACGAGAAGGGGGAAACCCCTTTGTACTTGGCGTCAAAGTTTGGAGTTCAGGATGTTCTCTGCTTTATTCTGCAGAACAAACCTGATGTCCTGAAATGCACAAAACAAAATACCAATGCAGTGTACATTGCCGCGCGGCATGGGCACGATGAATGCTTGCGGTTGCTTCTCCGCAATCTGGGACCAAATGGTTTTAGCGAACTTAGAAAAATGGAACGTCACCCACTGCATTTGTCCTCCAGGCATGGCCATTTGGAATGTTCGAAGCTCCTCTTGACAAATTCTTTGGTGAGTTATGAACCGATTTAATCAATTAATTTTTATTCTATTATTCCTATATTTTATGAACTGTTGACCATTCACTAAGACTATCGTGACGTTTCTATAGCATGAAATAATTCACTTCTTGTTTCAAGTATATTTTCTTGGTTAAATGATAGATACTTCCTTGATGGGAAATCGAGCGCCTTGAAAATGTTGCGGTTTTGGATCCTCGATAATAGGAGAGATTGAAGAGCTATTTTCTAATGCTGGAATACAGGTTTCACTGATAACCTGCCCTAACCTCAATTAGCAATATCAAATTTTTTGCCTATTCTGACGGCAGGGAGACGAAAATTCCCTGAAAAATTTGAGATGCTATTTCAAGGATAAAACTGGTCGAGTTCACTATCCTGTTGACGAAGCATTTCATGGCAGACAAGGCGAGCTTTTCAGATTCCTGCTTCACCAAATGGAAATTGACAAAAACGATGATTTGTGCGTCCGACTACACAGATACTTCAAGCAGTGCCTGAATGAAGCAGAAATGTACGTAAGTACATGTAAACATTGCATTTCTTAGTGAAGAAGATTATTAAAATCAATAGAATTCGATTGTCGAATCTCAATATAAATGAGAATTCTGTTTGAGAATAAATCTCAATCCTAAACACAAGTAAAATTCGTCGAGTGTGATCAAGATTTTTACTGGATTTTTTTTCCTAAAACTTATTATAAATTAAATATTTTTGCAATGAAAAATTAGCTTCTTTAGAGGCATTATCATTAATTCATTTAATATTATCGTTACTGGATATAATATGATATAAAGTCGATTTAATGTTTATATGACGCCGATAGTTCGAATTGTTCGCTCTTGTCGCATGCATTTATTGTGATTGAACAAAATGATTTACGATACTAGATGATGGAGAAGCAGTATCCTCACAGACAACAAACTATATAGATGCTTCCGTATATTCTTTTAAAACTCTATCCTTCATTTGGCGCTGGAGAATTTTATATTTCATGGGAATCTCTTAGAATTTATAATTTACCCAATGCAATTTAATTTTTAAGAACTGACGAGAATCAGGCCGCCAAGAATTCAGCATCGGAGCAAATGACGGACAAGGATTCAGCCTCGAAGAAGCAAACAGCCAAAGATTCAGCATCGAAGGAAATGGCAGACGAGGGTTCAGCTTCAAAGATGCAGACAGCCAAGGATTTAGCCTTGAGGAAACAGGCGGCCAAGAATTCTGCCTTAGAGAGAGAGGTTGCCAAAAAATCCTCTTTCAAAAAAGCTGTTCTTGAAGCAGTAATTGAGAGTCCGTGGTGCACCGTGGCTTTCGACGGACAATTCTGTAATAATATTCGCCAGCTTGTCTCCAGCAGCAGCCAGGAAGAGGTTTCAGAAGAAGTAAAACCATGTGACTCCTTTGCATTGCTCATCACAAAACACCCGGACTTGGCCTGCCGAGCAATGGATAGACACATTACACCTTTAGACGGCAACAGGGCACTTCACGACTACACTCCTTTCGAGTGCTTCTATTTCAGGATAGAAGGTGAGAGGAGGCTGGTTAGAAAGAATAATCTGCTTCATCCCTGACGCCTGAATTCTTTGGGTTTTATAAGAATTAACTTCATAGTTTGAAACGCGCTAGTGCTTAATTATTCACAAGCCCTTATTTGACGTTTTAAGAAGGCAATCTAATGAGGGAAGTTGAACTCGAGACGGCTTTGACGAAGTCTCCGGTCTAGTATACGCATGTAATTAAACTATATATAATTTTAGAACCTTAATATGTAAGCTAGTCAGTAATTGCAGAAATATTCGCCACATTAACCAAAATATAGCCATTCTTACACAGGCTTTCATTCATGTTTTATTGCGTTTACAGAAAATCGAGTTCTGTCTCCATTCACGGACATCATTCCTGACAATCTAGCAACTGGTCAAGGAGACCATGAAGAACTTCCTGTCAGTTCTATATATAGAACGGTGCGCCAGTTAAGGGCGCAGATGTCCTGCACGGCTGCGCCTAACAAACAGAACCAACTGGAAAAAGATGCAAAAGAATCCAGCAATACGCGCTGGTCCAGAGATCATCCTCTCCTGAAGGCTGTTGGGAATTGTCAGGAATATGACCGCCGAGTGCTGTGTCATAGACTAACCATGTACGATGGTTTGTGCTCATCTCTTCTCAATGCATTTATCTGCATGATGATCTCTGAGGAGAATGGCTTAATTTGAATATGTGATATTATAATTGAGCAAGGCAGCAACCTGAGCTTAGAAAGCTGACACTTCTACTTCTACTAAGTATGGCCTTGCTGTATTTCAGTCAACAAATGTTGCTTCTTGTTCAATTAAGCGTGATCTCACCACCAGGCACAGAAGGAGAGTGGAAGTTCTGTAAACTCTGTACACTTCAGTGCTTATAACCGAGCAGTTTTAATGGTTAAGTAACTCGGTGAACGCAAATTTTCAGTTCCATAATTAGTGGGTTGGTTTCAACAAATTCCTGAATATTCACAAATAATTGATACACAAGTTTAAGTGCAATTTCTATCATCTTCAATTACACGCACAAGCTTATTTAAATATATTAAAGAATTATAATTCTGTGGACTGCTAGTTCGAAGTAAAAACGTCTAAGTATAACTCCGGACTTTATAATTGAACTGCATGTTGCTTTATTAACACCATGTCAGGAGGTAGCATGTCTACAAAGGCCCATTTCTTGGAGCCATATATAGGAGCAACATACAGATTATAACTATTACTTGGGAGGTCAAATTTAAAAACTTGCTATTCTGAAATTTTGACATTAAACTGTCCATCTTATTTTGCATCGCGATAATTTATTTTACATTTTCCCTATTCGTTTCCACGCAGACATTAACTACGCCTCAGAAAACTTAGCCAAAAATTTACCAATATTAAGCTACTTAAATATTAATTTCCTCGTTCAGCTCATGGCTGATGAACAAACTACGCTACGCTCAATGGTTCCTGTATGGCTACCTGGCACTTGACGTCCTAACTGCCATCATCGTGACCTGTCTCTTATCCTTCACTTGGTACGTAATTAAAGAAGTTCGCTATGAGGCATGAACTTAATTTATGTTTATTGAAGTAATCTGCACCTCTAAATGTCAGCCATTTTATGAAGAAAGAGAAAATTTTGATATCAATTCTTATATCGGACAATTTCCCCTCCAGCTACGAGAACAATGCAACCTTTGGCCTAACACTAATACATGTAGAGACCGTCTTCCTGATAGTCCTCTATCCCAGTTACAAAGTAATTATATAATTGCAATGCTATTCCTACCTTCACACGACAGGGAGTCACAACATTTGCAGCGCACCTTCAGCGGCGTGACGCGCCTGCAGGTGATGCAGGCTTACGACGACACGCGCTCTCCTGCGGGCGACACGCTGGCTGCTGCTGAAGCCGTGAAGCTGATGGCTAACACGGACTCTCACTGCAGCTCCTGGGGAAATGGTATGAGTAAGCTCGGCAATTGAGGAGCCGTGGTTGGGCAATAGGATGTCATGGGGCTATTGGGAGTCATTACCATGACTGGGAACTTTTGGGACTCATCACCATGCCTGGGAACTTTTTTGGACTCATCACCATGCCTGGAAACTTTTGGGACTAATCAACATGCCTGGGAACTTTTGGGAGTCATTAGCATGCCTGGGAACTTTTGGGACTCATCACCATGCCTGGGAACTTTTGGGACTCATCACCATGCCTGGGAACTTTTGGGAGTCATTAGCATGCCTGGGAACTTTTGGGACTCATCACCATGCCTGGGAACTTTTGGGACTCATCACCATGCCTGGGAACTTTTAGGAGTCATCACCATGCCTGGGAACTTTTGGGACTAATCACCATGCCTGGGAACTTTTGGGACTCATCACCATGCCTGGTAACTTTTGGGAGTCATCACCATGCCTGGGAACTTTTGGGAGTCAGTACCAGGGATTGGGAACTTTAGGCAGTTATCATCGTGAGTCATAAAATGTATGCTTCTCTAACTCATGGTACAAGCTCCGAAAATTTGTTTATAAATTATCCATTGTAATCAATTAGTAATTTAATTACGTTTTTTTGTGGGTTTGGGAATGTTTAAAATTGCTTTGCGATTGATCTATCTAATCACGATTGTATAAAAAATCTGAAGCTTTGTTTCCTATGAAATTCTGAATGGTCGAAAAATTCATTGGTTGTTTGCCAATGAAAAGATGGAAACACTGTTTGGTACCATATATTATGGTAACTTTGCATCATTGCAGAATTGAAAAACCCAGTACCTCTCCAAAATACCTGAAGTGCCTGAACATGGGTATTCTATGGACACAAGTGCCTGAACATGGGCATTCTATGGACAGAAGTGCCTGAAACTAGGACTGATATATACTAAATCAACCCAAATACAAACGTTTGTGCGTTTAGAAGAGTAACGGGGCGGACTCTAATCATGCACACTGATGCCTAGCCTGACAATTTGCAGTCGGTTACAATTAAGTGAGCAGCCAAGCGTCGCGTCTGATTACAATCACGAGTCGTGTACAGACTTGTGACTTGTAGCCACGCTCCTCTGCGAAGTAAGGCGCTTTTGTTTTGGAGACATGGGGCATGACTAAGTTAACCAAATGTCGGTACGTTTACCGAGAGACTGCCTGTAATACAAAGTACATACGATTCTTCTTGTTGAAGTGTATAATGGAACAGCTCTTGTACGGTTTCATCTTAGCTTCCGAGACTGCACGTATGACTTCATACATGCTATTAGCTTTGTATTATAAATATTGATTTCCCAGATTGCTGTTAGCATTGCCGTATAGAAAACTCATCAACAATCGAAATTATGTGCGAGTAGCAGTCTCTGATACTCTCGCGAGTAGCAGTCTCTCGCAGTGCGAGCAGTCACTGATATACTTACTTACTGCCCGTTGCTGTTATGCTGGTCGGCACGAAGGACAGCAACGATGGTCCTCCACTCCCGTCTGCCCCGGTCCAGCCTCTTCATGGAACACAAGCTGTTGTTTAGGGCTCCCAGTGCAGCCTAAACTGTTCGGCGCCAGGTGTTCTTGGGCCTGCCTCGTTTGCGTTTTCCCTCTGGGGTCCAGCTTAGAGCAGTTTTCATGATGGGGTTGCCGTCGCTTCTTACAACGTGGCCGATCCAGTTTTACCGCTTTCTCGTCAGAATGGCGGCTGCACTCTCCTGCTTGCACTCACACCTCGTTAAATATTGTCCTATAGGCAATCCTATAGGGATCCTATAGAATCCCCCTACCTATAGGATCCAGCTAATCTGTTTGACCCAACTAGCTGCGCAAAAATGTTCAGGTGAGTCTTCTATTATTGCATCTGTTGAAGGGTGTGCGACGGAAAGGCCAAGTCATCGGCAAAATCTAGATCTTCCAAGTTCGTGACAGGCGTCCTGTGCATGCCTATAGAATCATCCTCATTTGTGCGACACATTATCCAGTCAAAGACAAGGTTGACAAGGTTGCAAAGAAAGGAAGACATTACACTGCTCTGCTTCACCTCGTTCCTGACCTCATACCATACATCGCTGTTTCTAACGTAGCAAGTTAAGTTCACATAGAAGCTCTTGATCAACATCACAATTTCCACCGGTATTCCGCACGCTTTCAGGATGCTCCAAATCTCTCTCTGTGGACACCATCGAAAGCCTTTTGGAAGTCCACGAAGTTAATATATCGCATATAGCTGCCTCTGCCTCTCAGTACATTGTTCGATTATGTTGCACAGTGTATACATCTGGTCGATGCACTCTCTTCCTTTGCGAAAGCCAGCCTGCTCTCGGTGATCTACCGAGATGTATACGCTAAACCATTGAGTTAGTCAGTTGTCTTTAATTCGTACTTGTTTATAAGCATGATAATCTTGATGTAAATTTCTATCTTAACTTCGGCTCAGTTTTGCATGCATTATTCATTTATAGAATACTACGTACAGTTGCGGAAATGGCAATACGACCATACAGTTTTTTCTAAATATTTTTTCTTACATAAAGAAATACGGGATTCCAATTATACGAGGTTAAATTATTAGTTTAAAAGCGGTTCCAACGCTATACGTAAAATTTATTTGTTAAAGAAATGAGAAGAAATGATGTAAATAAAAAAAATTGTGGAAAGGGTTATGACCATGATATAGGTTTACCGTTTGTGGGTCCCATACACTCGTTTGAATAGGCAATATTTCCTCCTTTCGCTTTAATTTCACCAAATCTACAAAAATTTTTGAGGAATTTTATCCCTGGAACGAAGAATAGCCGTGCGTAGGTCGCTCACATATTGGAACTGGCACCCATTTTGGTAAACATTTCTCGCCATGATGACCCATAGGTTTTCAATGGGGTTGTGGTCAGGACTAAGCGCTGGCCACGTAAACAGGATAATATTCTGCTAATGGAACCACTTGTTTGCTAACTTCGAGGTGTGAATCAAAACACTTGCTGGAAAACATATGATCCCTCATGTTTCTCATCGGCCAAAGGGAGAAGATGGTGAAATAGCGTGTTCATGTACGCGTCGGAATCTTGTCTTCCTTGTAAAATAGCTAGAGTTGGTTTTCCCTTTCAACTGAACGCCCCCCAAACCATGGCCGAACTGACACTTGTTAGCCGCTCGGAAAAGAATTCAGGCTCGTGGTCCAAGTGTTGCAATATCATTGCCATCCATCTGGACCATCAGGCTTGAACTTTTGTTCATCACTCAAAATAATCTTGTCCCATCCTTCACCAAAAAGCACTTTTTCAACAAATTTTAGTCGGTAGACAATATGATTGTGTTTCAGCATAGGGACATTTTTCCGATTCATGTACTTGAATTTCTTCGAGTCATGCAGTATGTGACGGATGCGTCGTGCTGTCACATCAACTTTAGTGGCCAATTTTATAGAAGCAGAGGTAGCGCCAGTTTTAGAAGCCTCTGAAAACAGTCGTCTAAAATCCCTCTCGGTTAATTTTGGGGTTGATCCAGGATGCTTTTTTGATCTGTAGCTGTTCGGATTAAAAACGTATGATTGTACGACGGCTTTTGAGCGTTTTATTTACTTTGCAATGTCCCGTTGGCTTCTACCGCATTTTGCATAGGCCGAAATCTGCGCCGTCTCGGCCTCTTGAGTCTTTTCCCCTTTGGCATCTCTTTTACTTAAAAAATTGAAATGAAGACACTGAACTGATCTATAGAATTACTCCAAAGTACTCTAAGTGGCAGAAATAATGATATTCTTTATGTGGCTGTACTGTTTAACGTGAAAATATTGATGAAAATTATAAAAATGTAGAAAAACAATATCTTGGTCATATAACCTTTAATTTCCACCTTGTAATTTTTTTAATTTTCATCATTTCTTCTATTATTGGACGGACTGATCACGCTCCATTGATGTGGCTAAATGAGAACAAGTGTCTTACATCTCGTAGAATGCGCTGGGCATTATCATTGCAAAATTATTCATTTGATATAGAGTATGTTAAAGGTAAAGAAAACTTTCTTGCTGATGTTTTCTCCAGGTATCCAAGTTCTGGTGAGAACTCGGCTTGAGAACGGGGATGTGTAGTATTGTAAGCCCATTCCGTACTACTGACAGGCATGCAACCTTTCTTTGAGCCTAGTCATAGAATTAGAAGCACTTCGTCTTGTATGTCTCTGCGAGGTGGTCTGAGCTACTTAGGCTGCAGAGCACGACTCTAAGGTATGAGTTGGACGAGGTTAACTATTGTTTTCTATATTTGTTATTTGTGAAGGTTATATCGTGCTAATATAGTCAAATTATTTATTCATTGGTGTTAATTGTAAGTATTGTTGTCCGTCCTCTAGGACACAGCGGAGTCCTTCTCCTCTCGCGACTCCTCTCATTACGTCGCTACTCTCATTATTGCTCTCAGATAACTCTTATGCGCCACTCTGCTTAATAGTTAGGATAATTAGACTTGTAAAGATCTTTTGTTTATTGAACCTTGAGATAACAATCTCACAATATTAAATAAAATATATTAAACTTTCCGCGTTGGAACCGTTTTTAAACTTAGTTTAACCTTGTATACTCAGAATTCCGTTTTTCTTATGTAAGAAAAAATATTTAGAAAAAAACTGGGTCTTCGTATAGCCATTTCCGCAACTGTAGATGAAAAGTTCCCCTTGCAGCCAGCTGGGACTCAGCAGGCGCAATGGAGGTGTCGTCTGCCGCCTGGAACCGCTCCGTCTGCGCCGTCCATCACCTGCGGAAGCACACACCGAGCGTCGTCACCTTGGAGGTCTTCACTATCATTCTGCTTATCGGCCATGTGCTCATCGAGTTCAAACTTCTTGCCAGAGTGAGAATATATTTGTGCATGTCTCATTCGAATTTATTATTTTGAACACTATTCCAGTTATTGAGGAGAGCCCAGTGGGCTCAAGGCCAATTAGTTTGAGATACGCAAAGAAGAGGTTCTCAAGCGCCTGCTCTCTCTGTATTCCAACGAGTCATGTGTATCAGTCGGTTTCTACCATAAATTATTCAGAGAATTTACAACCGTCCTGGCCGGCCTTTTGACAGAATTCTTTCAAAAGCCTTAAAGCGAGGGGACTTAACCGGCCGATTGGAAAGAAGCTCAAGTCACACCTCTGTTCAATAAGTGTGACAAGAGGAGCCCGGTAACTATCGCCATGTCAGTCTGTGTAGGTGCCTGTACACGGGGACAGTACTGGCCGCCAGTTCATCCGCCGCTTGAACTATCCACGCTACTGGCCTCGTGTATAGGGGTTCAGCCGCTCCAGTGGCATGTGCCCGAGTCGCGGCCGAGACAACGATGTGTTGTTTTCTTCGCCGACAAGCGGACAATAGCGCTGATTCAGCCATGGTGAGAGCATCTGCGCCGCTCATGTGTCTTGGGTCAAGTGAATCATGGCTTGTTTCAACGATAATGGTTCTAAGAAGAACCCAACAAAATGGAATCCAGACGATATTCAATTTTTCTTTGAGATATTCAAAAAATATGAATTAATGTGGAATGTTCGCCATGCTAGGTACTCCAACAAAATGAAACGAGCATTTTGAAACTGAGAGAACTTATTAGTCAGGGTTTAGTTGTTCCCGACGTTACATTTTCAAGTGCTAGAATATAAAGTATAAAACAACGTACAGACTAGAGTTGCTGAAGGTGATCCCACTATCCATTTTCACAGACCTCACTCGACGGCTTCTAATGACGCACTAGCGGGCGCGAACCAGAAGATATTCGGCACCTTATACTGTCCTCGCGTGCAGGCTTAATTACTTGCCGAATAGTCACCAAGCGGCCGACATTTGTCAGATCAACTTGCCGCCTGCACTGTCCCTGTGTACAAGCACCTTATCAGACGGAGCAACAAGGCGTAGTGAAGTGCCGCAAAGAAGCGTTCTTGTGCATGTTTTATTTGTTGCTTTTATAAACGATCTGCCAGAAGTAGTGTCAAGCGCGTGCTCCATGTATGCTAACGACACAAAAGTTTATAATACAGTTAAGGATACGTCAAGCATAGTGCAATAGCAAAATGATCCTGAAGATTAGTTGACTGCGCTGATACGCATCAGCTGCGTTTTAATGCTGACTAGTGGCCCCTCGTGGCACCAAGCGTGTTCCGCTTCTTTTGGCCCTCGCTCAAAGTTTTGGACTGGCAGCCTACCACCAGTGAGTGTCGCTAGGCAGAGTGACATATATTTTGTATTTCTGTCTTGACCATCTTATGTATGTACGACTGTATCACACCTTATACCTGTGTTTCCGCTCCCTCCCCTCCCCACACCCTAAGGCTCCACTCATCCGACTGACCGACACAGCTACCGGTTTCTACACTGTCACTGATGACGCTACTGCGATCAATAAACTGACATCAGAAAAGGGACACAGGCTTTTGAAAACATCAACTTGACCACCAAAATAGCCCCCGACCTTAGAGCCAAACGGACCATTTTCGTACAACTTGACGGAGACGTAGGAAGCCACACTGCCGACGAAATAGCGTACAGTAAAGATTTGACCAAAAATACAGGACGAAACGAAAACAACCAACCCTTTACCTTCCTCAAAGTCTCGAGCGACTCACCCACCGCCTTCATCATCATCATCATTACCCTCCTCCCCTACTCATCATATCCATCAAAAAAATATAAAAACAAAAAATAAAACGGCGAGAAAACATGCATGTATATATATGGAGAACCACCAACCTCCCATCACATATCTTCCTCAAGCATACAAAGCCGCGACGGGTTCCCAACCCCGAACAACCCCAATCACCTACAACCTACCTAATCATGCGCAATGCGCCTTTTCATATCCTACTATTTTTTCCGTTTTATCTTCCTGTTTCTGGCCATTCTGTGCCACCTCCTGTTCTATTACACTCTTTCGTAGTGGCACCGCAACCAACCAAACCAACTAACAACTACAATTAGTGTCTAAACTGCCACAATGACCACTGCACGCTAGCCGCCAACTGTCCATCCTGCAAGCAAAATATACAAGACAAAAAACAAGCCCAGCAAGAGACTATCGAACACAAAAACAACCAAACGTGCCTCGACACAGCCAAACAAGCAATTAAATAAACAAACATTCCACAACACAGCCTGACACTTACAGACAAGACGCTACCTAAACAGACCGTAATTATTCTCGAAGCCCATATCGCCCACCTCTCCCATCAGGCTGGGTTTGGCAGCATAGTACTATCCCAATCATTGAAGACCTACTACGACATTTACGCGACTTTTCCTGGCAGAGACTCTGCAAAAATATTCAACTTCTTTTATAACCAACCTTAAACCAAGAATCCCGACGCCGACTTCAACTTCTAGATGGAATTTATTGATGACGACGATATGAGACGGTCTTCACTCTACCTTTCTCAACAACCAAAAGACGACAACCGAAAAAATAACCCTCCACCACTGAAATACTTAACCCTTAAACGAAAACCGTGACCATAGAAAAAGGAAAAACCCCGACGAAAACTACAAAGAATTACATCATAGGACCCGGACTCAACGAACTGATCACTATCAAACTATTTAGAAGCTCCAGAGGCACAGTATAAATTCCCAGACCCACCCAATCTTCGATTTGCAGACAAACTAAGAAAGAAAGACTACGGACTGAAGCTCTCGGTGAAGGACGCAGACTCATCGAAAGTACTTGACTGAAAGAATGAAGATACAATCAACCACTATTAGAAATCATTGCCCACGATTCATTTGCCATCATGGACAAACACTCGACAACAACCGAAAAGACGACACACTCCACATTCAAGCACCCACCACAATGACCCCCGCCCTCTCTGGAGATAATACAACACAACGACTGCCACTGGTGCAACAACAGATTATCTCTTGCAAACATCTACCACCACATAGACCAAGACATAATACTACTCAATGATCACTCCATCACAGACACAAACACTCCACTCAAAATATTCAATTACAACATTCATAGCTGCAACACAGCACAATTCACTCCAGTGCTGCCAAAGCAGTAAAACGCCATATCCCATACAAACACCATTCAAACTACACTTCCATATCGACATGCTCGCAATCACAATAGATACTCAACAAGGACTCATCACGATAACAACTACATAAGAGTATATGCCACCCTGCATAGACTATATTAACTACATTGATTTCCTCGCACTTTCGATTTTTGAATAGGCCCTATTCTGTGTACCACCTCGCGGCATAAGCGCAAGACACACAACATTAGGAAACAGCTCCTCCAACCACATACTGTAGGAAGACAATTACACTCACTAATAACCCAACGCAAATGTACTCACATAGGTCCCTACGTTCCAACCCTAAACACCCACAACAGCACAACATCACCTAACAGAGTCCTACACAACAATAAAGCTGTGAAGATCTCACTAATTTAGGCTCAAAGGTTCACAGAGTAAAGTTTCACAATAATGACTACAAATTTTCAAGATATCAGCACAGTATTCTGACAAGCAATGATGATTTTAATATTTTTTTCTTAAATCTTGATATTTGAGGGAGGCCACAAGAGGAATAGCTCCGATCAAATACCTCCTAAGTTAATAAATCAGGACTCAGAACACATAAAGTTCATAAAGCTAATCAGATGACAACATAACCATTACTACTTTGAATTTAACTGGAATAGTTTTTAACAACTCATATTTTACTCACACTGATGCCACATGGCAGACATTGGATAGGATTACGTCATGCTATTAAACTATCATCTTAAATTTTCTTATGATTAATCCTATTTTCAGATCTTGTTTGATACGAGACTACAGCATACATTGCAATAGCAAAATATCACAACACAGTAAGGATTATGAACTGAATCAATATTTCTTATTATTAGATTTTCAACCCGGTTTCAGTGCTCTCAAGTTAAACAAGGAAATTCCACAAAGCAAATGAATCGGCTACGATTTCGCATTTTGTGGTAGTGTTGCATTTGGGGAAAGTCTAGATTATTATTTGACAAACATTGTTGATATTTTCGAATTGTGAAATCCTTTTTTGTTTAAACATTACCACCAGACGTATTGCAGGATAACTAGGTACATTTTCAATTGTCTTGAAAATGCCTTATTTCAAAAGTCATGACAAAATGAAATAAAACATTTTAGAGACGTTCACTACAAAACATTCCAAACATACACCTACAGCCCGGAACCATTTTCCGTCAGATCACATTCCCATAATGGCCACCATATCTGCAAATCCCATACAAATACCCATCCGTCCTCGTAGATCCTTCCATGGAGCAAACTAGACGCGATCCAAACAAACAATTATCACACGATACCTCAATCCATATCATAACACACCGCTTCATTCCCAGCTTCAAACCCGCCCAAGAAATATTAATCATTTAAACTTAACACCAAGCCACTCTCCAATACATTCACACCCATGGTCCATCGCCAGCGCTCAAAAGACAACTCATCACCCTACGTCATCAACTACACACAACATGCAGGTATGATAGCTAGTCTCCAACACCAAACAAGCTGTCACATGCCTCAAACGCAACAGAAAACATATCACACCCGAACAAAAAAACATCAATCTCTGGTAGGGCATGACCTTATGTCCTTATGATGAGTTCGGGACTTCCTAGTCCCCGGTCACGCTGATGCGCCGCCTTCGTCGTCCATCCGTCTCGGAGTCGTCGCTAGGCAGGTCACTCCACCCTCGGGTCCCGGATGTAACGTTGGACGTGTTCCGTATATTTGCCCTACTTTGGGCCAGCTGATGCAAGATGCTGTTGCTTGTCACTTGCTGAGGGCAGTTTCCCATTACTGG